TACAACGTGGATGAACCTTGAGGACATCGTGCTAGTTAAATAAGCCAGTCACAAAAAGGCAAATACTGTACGATTCCACTTACATGGAGTGACTGGACTAGTCCAAATCATAGAGACACAAAGTGGAATGGTGGTTGCCAGGGGCTGAGAAGGAAAGGAGAGGAGAGTTATTGTTTAATGGGTGTAGAATTTCAGATGAAAAGAGTTCTGGAGATGGACAGCAGTGATGGTTGCACAGCAGTGTGATTGCACGTGACGCCACTGAGCCGTGCACTTAAAAATGGTTAAGATGGTAAATTTTATGTTGTGTGTATTTTACCACAATAAAAAAATTGAAAAAACAATAGTACATCAACTATCATGAATATCGTTGCTTGGGATGAAGCTAAGTGGTATTTAAGTTAAGCATCCGTATGAAATACTGTAAGATGATGGATACTCTAGAGGAAGAAGTTGGGGAAACACTGATGTAGTCTATTCTGAGCTCAGACTGGAGGTGCCTCAGCCCTCATCATCCTCAGCTTGCCCGATTCCGCAGCCCCCCACGCCCCAGCCCTGATAGGCATGTGTGTGCCACAATGGCTGGTCTGTTGCAGTCCAGAGGGACTAGATCTGGTGCCTTCTGGGCTCTGCACATGCCTGGTAGCATCAGGGGTTTGAAACCCTGAATCTCGACATTCACAAAATCCTGTGTATAACTTGGGCCTCACCGTTGGGCTGTGAGCACCTCCGGCAGGCTCCCTTTCAGCATCCTACCCTGGCGAGGCGTCCCGGGGCATAAGCATGCTGGGTGGGTAGCAGGGACCCAGAGAAGAGCAGTTGGCTCTGTGTTGGGCTCCTTCCTAGTGGAGGCTGAGCAGGCCCCCACCCTTGTCACATGCCACCAGCAGACAGGCCTCGCTTGGCTGGGACTCTGTGTCCCTGGAGTTGCTTCTCCACACAACCTGGCTCCTGGGGGCCTGAGAGCTGTGCCCCCCCTGTGTACCTTCATGCCCAGAGCTATCCTATATATAAGCCACACACAGTGGAGTCTGTGGCCCCCTGGAAGCCAGTTTCCAACTCTGACACCAGCTGGGAAGGGACCTTGGAGAAGTCGCTTCTGTGAGACATCTCCCAAACCATGCTCTGCAGAACATTCCATAGGTCTCATGAGCAGAAAGCCTTCCAAGTTCAAATCAGGTTGAGTCTTCATACTGTTTTCCCCGGGTCAACATGTCTTAAGCTTCCAGTGTTCAAGATGGCAATAATAATACTATTAAATAACTGACATTTATCAAGGGCTTACTGTATGCCAAGGGCTCCAGCACAGGTTTTACGTGCCTTATTTTTATTTAATACTCTCAATACCGAAGGCTTATTGAGATGAAAGTAACTTGCTCAGAATCTGGGCTTTCTGGAAGAAACCATGGGGAGCAGATAAAGATGGAAAGATACTAGTACTCAGAGCAGTGCTTCCTAAACTTTAAAGGGCACACGCATCACCCGGGGACCTTACTTAAAGGCAAATTTTAACTCACTAGGTCTTGGGGGGAGTCTGAGATTCGGCATTTCCAATAGCAGTGGGCTGAGGGCCGAGGCTGCTGGTCCGCAGACCAGGCTGGGAGGAGAGAGACATTAGAGCACCCGTATTTTTTCTCCTGCAGCTGGGATGGAATTCATTCATTCACCCATTCACTCGTTCATTTGCTGTCATTTGTAGAAGCAGTCTAGTAGTGGAAAACACGAACTATGACATTTGAAAGCAGATTTCAATCCTGGTTTCCTAAATAGGTGATTTCTCTAAGTCTCAGGTACCCATCTGTAAAATGGGAATGAAACTCGCATTTTATAGCGTCTTCGTGAATATCAAATGCAATAAAATGTGACAAAAGTCTGCCCCAGGGCCTAGGGAATGGTGCACATTTGATAAATGGTGGTGGTTTGGGAGCTTACTTTATTATTTATTTATTCATTTCAACCGGAATTCCCTTATGGTTCCCAATAAGTTTATTTTAACATTTATTTATTCATTTGTTACTTGCATGTTTCCGCAAAGATTTCCCAGTGGCTTCAATAGTTGCAGCAGCGAGCGGGCCCCAGTTACCATCAGGAAGGAGAGGAGCCGCGTAGACTGAGAGACGTGATTTCTAATCATTGCAGCAAAAGGTAGAAGGAAATTGATGAAGAGACAGACACAAGTGATGAACTGTGAGAGCCATTTGGCAAATGTCTCCTCCAGAAAGGGAGAGTGAGAAATGTGTGTGATTGGGGGGGAGGCAGAGAGAGAGAGAGAAACTGGAATGGGGCAAAATGTCAACAGATCGCAAGCTGTTAATTATCTGGAGAGAACTAAATATTATGTAGGCAATTATCGACAGGCGTCTGAAAGCAACAATAGGAAAACTTGGTCCCCAGCCGAATTCCATCTCCCTTTGGAGAAGGGCGGGAGAGAGGCTTTAGCATTCAGAGCAGGCATTTTACTCTGAGGGAAGAGTGAGGGGCCCGGGGCGCCCAGGGAGAGGGGGCAGGCAGGGGGCCCCTCGCCCCACCCATCCAGACAATCTAGCAAGATCCCTCGCCAAGCACGCAGACAGCGCTTGGCTTTGAAAGGCGGCTTTACCCACGAGCTCCGGGCCTGGAAACCTCAGCCCCCTCCCTGTCCACCCTCCCTCCCCCAAGATGTCATCTTTTGAGACGATTTCATGTGGAAGCATCGCTAAGTAAATTTGCTAAATGCCTATTCATCCCCGTCAGATGGGGACTCGGCGAAGCGGTAAATGTGAAAATGGCCCCAGCTCACAGCCCTGAAAAGCGCTCTCTGGGGTTGCCAAATGGCGCTGCAGCCGCTGACCCTGGGAGGCCCGAGGCTTCTCGAGAGGGGGCCCCGGAGCCCCAGCCCGGCCCCTTCAATCCTCCCACTAAGGCCGCCTGAGAGGGTCTATTTATTATTCCTACTGCCAGGGACCCATTCAGAGGTTAACTTGTCCCTTATTCATCAGGACACAATAATGAACTGTCGCAGAAAGTGGCGAGGGGCTTGGTAAATAAGAGCTGTTAAGACGCAGAGATGGAACGGGCCTCTTTATGGTCGGGAAAGAGACGTTGCTTTAATTTTTTTTATAGGCTGATTTAGTTGCCACCTCTCCCAGCGACTTAAAGGGGCCCCTCCGCCCAAGCTACAGGTACCTCGGGCCGAGGATCAGTGCGCGCTACCTGGGCATGCACAGTGGCGTTTGTCCACGCAGGAGGTGCACCACTGCACAGACACGGGTTACCCTTTAGTGAACGTCCCTGGGGTTCACCCCGTGCACATCAGCAGGGCTCAGCTTCCTGTGTGTGCGTGCCGGGTCTACCTCACTGCAGACACGCTGGGATTTTGTGGTGCCTGCCACCGCCAGCACGGCTGGCTTTGAATCGGTGTTTATTTCAGTAATAGGCTGGGACAGCAGCAATGCTCATTTTGACCGCAGCGTCTCTTCACTGCCGCGTGCCCCCTCCGCTGGAAGCATGAGTTGGTCAACACGAGCCATCCAATAAGAGCGCAGGGGCTCGGAGTGGCGAGACTGCAGAGTCGCAGGGAAATGGAGGAGGGGTGCAGGGTGGGGACAGCCTGCACCAGATAGCGGGGAGGCAGAAAGAACAGGGCATCATGCATTGATTGTGCACCTACTGTGTGCCTTTAAACCCACAGAGTTCTCTATTCAGTATACATGCACAGTGGGCCTACTAGGTGCTGGACATGTTTCATTCTCAGCTCAGGTGAGTTCAGAGAGGTTAAGTGACTCATCCCTTGAACACACAGCTACCTTAGTCACGGAGCTTTCTGCTTCTAGAGCCCAGATACGGCTTTCTAAGGCACCATCCTGCTTCTCAAAATCCACCCTCCCTTGTATTCCAGAGACGTTTTTCCTTTCCACTGCCATCATTGTTTTTCCCAACTCGAAACAGTGCTTAACCCTTTCCTTCTAAGCAAAAATCCCTGGGCAGAGAAGCCTGGTGATGAAGGAGCTGTCACATCAGCACCGTTTACCTGTTTGGGTTTATCCAGTGGAAGAGGCGACTGCATTTCTGGCAGATGGAGACCCGTGTGACTGCCTTTTAAAATACTGTCACAGCTGTGTGCACAAGCTGATTAGCTGTGACTACACTGCTAGTGCCGAGATTGATGGCGATAAATTTGGGATAACAATGCCGGGAACGGTGTCATTGGTTCGTATTGCGCTTCATATTTTTGAAATCTCTCTCAGTCAGTAGCCCAGTGGATATCGAGGACTGGGCATTCACTCATTCACGGGTGCCGTCGTCCCTCCAAGTCCATGTGAAGGAGTCAGTTCAGACTCGACTCGCTTTGATTCATTCATTTATTCGTTCAGCAAACATTAATATGGCTCCTGCTGTGTGCCAGTGATGAACAGATCTGACCCAGTTCTGTCCTCATGGAGCTTACATTCTATAGGCAAGCTCAGCACTTTCAGATGGTGACACAATAATGAAGTAAACAGGAATTATGTGATCACCGTGAGGAGGCAGGTGCTACTTTAGGTTGAGTGGCCAGAAGAGACCTCTCCGAAGAGGTGACATGTGAAAGGAGACCTGAATGACGAGAGCAAACCAGTAATGGGAAGACACAGGGCAAAAATTTCCCAGGTATAGCAAGTGCAAAGGGCCTGAGGTTGCTGTGTATTTGGCACCGGGCTGCACGCTGATGACTGACTTTGCCAAGCCCCAGTGCTGGGCACTGGGGAGTCCAAAGTAAGTAAGATGCTATGCTTGTCCTCAGACAGTTCCCAGTATAGTGGAGTATCCAGGAGAGAAATGCACAGCCTATTCTAATGCAGTGCGGCGGGCTCGGTGACGGTGACGCATGAAGAGGATGCCTTGTCAGCCTGCGTGCTGGTGATCAGGGAAGGCGATTCAGGCAGAGCAGCGCAAAGACTGACACCTGCTTTCTGTGACACAGGGAAGCACGACTCAAAGTCTCCATGGAGGGCCCTGATTTTCTTCTCCGTTTGTTTCTACAGGACAAATGACCAGCTGGTGGCATTTCTCTCCCGATACCGAGACATGAATTTCTTGAAGTCACACGGCCGGGACAACGCAAGGTAGCACAGCATCCCCCTCGCCCTGTGCAAAGTGGAAATGAAAATCTGAGTGATGACTTGGGGACTTTTTTCTAGGCTGGTTTGGTGCCACCAGAAAGAAGTTGAAGATGGGAGAAAGGCATGACACGGGCGGCCTTGGCCGTTTGCGTGTAGAATCTGGAGCAGTCTGTCCTGTCAGCCAAGGGCAGGATAATCCTATGTGTTTCTCATAGTGTCGCAGCCCTTTTCATCTTCTTTTTTTTCCCAAGGACTTTCATGAGTCCACTATCTCACAGTAGCAGCCCTTTGCATAGGGCAGCCACTGTTAATTCCCATTTTATTGGTGGGAAGACTGAGGCCCACGGTTTAAGTGATGTCCCCAGATCATTCACTCAGTCCGCCAGACATTCAACAAATATTTAGCAAGTGCTGAGCTTGTGCTGGTCACTGTTCTGGCAGTGAACAAGACAAAGTCCTGACCCCTCATGGAATTTACTTTCTAGTGGAAGAGTCTCATGCCAGTGTGGAGTTGAACCCAGGGGTCCTGACTCCCAGGCCTGTGTCTCCTCCACTGCCCAACACGTGAGCAGGTATTAAGGGTACCCAGACCCCCAGTCTGGATCTATTACACCCCTTTCATTTAAAATGAGCAATGTCAAAAAATATTAATAGCATCTCTGCAATCCAGTGTTGAGCTAGAACCCAGCTCTCCATGGCCAGAGGTCAGCTAGAAGGAACACGGTCTTGAGCGCCCCCTGTAGACGTCACCATCCCAACATGCGACACCATTAAAAACCAGCCTAGGATCACTCTGTCGACCTGGGACGTTTTTCTAGCCTGGAACTCAGAGCATAACCTGGCAGCGCATGGGCTCACGTTAGCTTGTTAATGTGCTTTATTTGGCCATCATGGTGTTTTGTTTTGTTTTAATCCAGGTGCTTCATATGAAAATTAATAACCCCATTTAAAAACAGCAATATTTCCCATGAAAAATCCGGATTTCTAGCTAGTCTTAAAAAATCTGAAGGTCTGTTAACTCCATGCGTGAGTTTTCTCATGGCAGTTACTTCCTGGATCTTAGGTCGCCGTGGCCCTCACTTCTTTTCCTTCCTGACCCGGCCCCCAGCAGCGTCTCCGTTTGCAATCTCTGCTTTGGATCTTCTCCACCACTGCGGGTGGAGGTGTTTTGCCTGTCTCTGTGACTCAGTTTACCAAGTTATCCATTGCAGGGGAGGCACAAAAGCAAGGCCTAAGCTCCATTTCCTGAGCTCTCAAGAAATAACCCCAGCATCCTTGTGTTGGATCATTTTCCTAAATTGTCACTTTGATTTCGTTCAGCTGATTGTTTATAGATCGTTCCTGCCCTTCTCACAGCCTGCCTTCTTTACATTTAAAAGGAGCCCCAGGACTTGAAGATGCTCTTTAAATCAGCACAGATTAGTACAGCATGTTCAGGCCACAAAGCATAGAGAGGCCTGGCTGGGTAGATAAGGAAGAATTAAAGCCACTGTGCGTTGTGCTCCTACTAAGTGCCAATTACTCCACTGGCCACCCCATATACGATCTAATCCTGTTCTTACAGCCACTTAAGACTTACCATCATTGTCATGAAAAGAAGAGAAGGTTTTAGAGGCCTACATGATTTTTCCAAAGATCACACAGCTAATAAGTGGTAGAATTTGAACCCAGGTCTTTCTGGCCCCATAGCCATAGGGACAAGGTGGGGCCAGGCATGATTCCATGGAGGGAGGGGTGGTTGGCTATCAGAAGCAGCCCAGATGTTGGTGTTCCCTACCCAGGGGTAGAGAATGAAAGCTCTTCTTCTCCAGGGAGCCTCTAATATATGATTTGTGGAAACAAACTTGTATCATGAGGAAGGAGCCCATTCTAAGCGTATGAACTTGCGTCTCTGAATTACATCCACCCCAGTATCCTCCTTTCATCCTACTCAGTATTTATTCTCTGTGCACGATTTCCCAAGCACTGTGCTAGGAGCTGCATATGGGCTTTGAGATTATACCTCCTGGGTTGGAATTCTGATCTATTATGTCCTAGCTGTGTTGCCCTGGACAGGTGACTTAACCCCTCTGAGCCAGTTCCCTGACCTGTACAATGGAAATATTAGTAGAGTTGCACTCATGGGCTCATTGGGAGGATTAAATGAGATGCTACATATAAAGCATTTGATATAGTAAATGCTTATGACGAGGAGGAGGATGTCATCGTTATGATTAGCATAGAACTAAAATGTTGCTGATAGGAGAAAGAAATAGATGGTGTATGAGCCTGCACCATGCCTCTAGGTGTGTGCATGCATCCTGTATGATCGACGTGCATCAGTAGTTGACAGTGGTACCCGATGGCACAGGACGGGGTAAAGGGTGAGGCCAAGGAGAGGTTGCTTGAACCTGCCTCCAAAACCCTGAAACCCAAAGTTCTCTGGACAGAATAGCTCACAAGTTCTAACACTCATACACGAGTCCCCAGCTGGGATTCTCTCATTTACATGAAGTAAGGGCAGTAATTTAGTGTTAATTTAATAGTAAAATGAGCCAATGTGGCATCCTCTGCCACTCTCCCCTCTTCGTTAGCTGAGGCCTCACCTGCTGCGTGAACGAGCCAGCTACAGCCCATCATCTGTCGTCTCTCTCAGGTGAGCAGAGCTGGGCATGGCTTGGCTCAGGGTCCTCCCTGGTGGTGTGTTAGAAAGAACTCTTTCGGTGGGAAATGACGGAAACCCAGCTCAAACTACCTTAAGAGTATAGAAAATTATTGGATCAGGTAACTAAAATATTGGCACTAACTTCAGGTATGGCTGCATCAGGCAACTCAAGCAATGTCAAACCAAGACTACATATTAGTTCTATTTCCCTGTGTGTTGGTTTAATTCCCCGTCTCCAGGGGGTGACCATTGGCAGTGCAGTGCCCTCATTTTACAGAAGAAAAAGACCGAGACTCGGAGAGGTGGCGTAACTTGCTTAATGAAGCTCACACCGCTAGGGCGGGGCTAGGACTGAAGCCCAGGTGGGCAGGTCCACGGAGTCCAGCTCCTCATTCCTGCATGAGGAAGCCTCTCCGTCCTCTAGTCCCGCTTTCCTCCAGCTCGCTGGGTGATTTTGAGGCGGCCACCCTGCTTCTCTGGGCTTCATTTTTTCCGTTTGAAAAGCAAAGGTGTTGAACGAGATGCCTGCAGAGGCCCTTCCCATTCTGCTCGTCCACGCTCCCAGACAGCCCTTGCAAAAGAGGAGGGCACAGAGGCGGGGATCCTAAAAGACAGAAAGTTGGGGAGGGACAAAGCAAACAGTGAGACACAAAACAGGCCGCAGGGGGCCTCAGTTTTTAACTCCACCTGATTCCTAATGGCAACGTTGACCCATCTTCATGTCCAGCCTTTAGCAGCCAATTCTGAATTCCAGCCCCCGCTGCGAAGAGATGACGTAAAGGCAAACTAGTATTTTAATAGCTGCCAAATTGGTCCTGACTGTTCCTGTAATTGAATGAAGGCGAGAGTCCCATCCCTTGTTTCTCCTTGCTTCCCTCCAAGAATAAAGTGACTAGATGTATGGAAAGACACGCAGCACAATTGTCATTTTCTCAGACAACCTCAGCAGGGCCCATAGAAGCAGGCGCCCTCACCTTTACCCTCGACCTGAATAATCTAGTCTTTGGAAACATCCCCAGGAGTTCCTGGCCTCCACTCAGGGAGCATCAGAGAAGTTTTTCAAGTCTCCGCAGCCTGCTGAGGTCTCAGTGGGTGGGAACAGCCCCCTTCCAGGGAGATGGAAAGGAAAAATCTACTCCCTCAGCTAGAGTTGGGGTTCCTCTCGGACTTTTCCTGCCTTGGTTGATCTAATGTCTCTACCTCGGTCAAGGTCAGCAGGGCCCCAGTGTTTAGCCCTGGGGTGTGGTATGGTGGAGGGCAAAAGCAAGGATGCTGGCATCCAGCCACCTGGGTCCAAATGCCAGCTCTGCCACGTCGCAGCGGGACTTGAGCACATGACTTTGGCCATGCCCCCGTTTCCTCATCTTTATAAATTCCAGGTCAGGATCATGGGATTGGGGGATTGATCATCCCCACTGACCAGGGGAAGGCACCGAGCTAGGCACTTGGCAGTGCATTATCTCATTCCAACTCCATTTGGCAGCGTTACCCCACTTCAGAAAGATCCCACTGGGGTTTGGAGAGTTGCCTTAACTGCTCAGGGCCTCACACCTAGTGAACGGCAGAGCTGGGATTCGAACCTGGTTGGGTCTGACTTCAAGGCCTGTGTTCTTTTATCACCCCATGATTAGTGACTGCATTTGAGATGACCTGCAGTTTTAAGTTTTGGGGATGTATAGCAAAACCCTGCCGACTTTAGGCAGAATTACTTTTTATACGGGTGGGGGACAGGTCCCTCCCCTACTTCCTAGAGTCAGCATTTCCCAACGTGTGTTCATGATCCACCAGTGACCACTGTGTGAGATTCCTTCATAAACAGGCATACTGTGAAAGTTAGGTATCGATCTTACGTGTATCAACAAAAATGTATATGATTAGCCCATCTAACCATGATTTAATGGATATTATGCTTAAGATAAGGTTAAGTTCAAAGAAAACCGTGGAAGCTATTTAAAGTTGACTTAGAGAGAAATACTAAGGGGGCTCGGATGTAGACGCTACACAAAGCAAACAGCAGAGCAGTTAGGAATCAGGCTCTCGGGACTCACTCGCCAGCTCTAACACTCGCTGAGCGTGTGACCTTGGGCAATGTACATCAGTTACCTGTGTATCAGTTTTCTCACCTGCAAAATGGGAATGATGATAATAATACCAACCTTGTAGAATTGTTGCAAGAATTAAATAAGTTAATATGTGGATACGCTCTTGGAACAGTTAGCTATGCCTATTAAGTTGATGATGATGATGGTGGTGATGGTGGTAGTGGTAATGATGGTGATGGTGATGAAGAAGGAAGGAGAAGAATCTGGAAGATGACATACAAATCAATAACAGTTCACAGACACTTGCAACAACGCCG